TGCTTCGACTCTTGTCTGGAGTCCTGCTTCGACTCTTGTCTGGAGTCTTGCTTCGACTCTTTCGACTCCCGCCTGGCGTCCTGCTTTGACTCCTTCGAGTCTTGCCTGATGTTCTGCTTCGACTCCTGTCTGGTGTCCTGCTTCTTCTTGGGCGAACGGGCCCTTGGTAGTGGAGACACTGAGGTCTCCTCTGGCTGGGCAATACTGCGGTTCCTGAGAGTTCGACCACAAAAGTTCTCATCCAATCCATTGAGCCCTACTGATGACCTTGTGACACGCGAGGAACGGGACGCGGCCATACTACGGTGGGTGCCTACAGCCTCCTCATCCTGGTGCTCTCTCCTCTGCAGCAGAATGTTGGCACCTGTTAAAGAAATAAAAAAAGCAAATCATTAAGGTCAAAATAATGATAAAAAGCGGACAACATGCCCAATTCTATGACTACATTAAAGCAACACTGATTTCAGTGGTTAGTCATTTTGAAATTGAATGTCATTTTTCAAATAAAAGCATCCCAGAGCACCCTCGTTAAATACTAGTTGGGTCACTTCCCTGCAAATACCCTGAAAATTAGGGATTGATTTGATCGCTGTAGCCCAGAACTAAATACTGCCAACATACAAAAATAGACATCTTTTAAAGATTCTGATAAAAAAGTTTAAAAAGGTGGAACATTGGCCCATACAGAAGAGTAAAAAGTGGTACGTCCCTCAATCTATCTTTAATGACCAAACACACAGCAATCTAGGAGCTCCTCTGTATTCGCATGGCAACCAAAGCAGAAATTAAGTGAGCCGCTCAGCAAGCATTTAACTTGTAAAAATTACCCCAAAGTTGGTAAGGTCAGGATTATTAAAATTATACTTGTCTAACTATAATTGTTTAATAAAATATAAACAGTGTAATCCACTTTTTTCTATGGCAGCTTAAGCACAGCGGCCAAGTCTTTTCCTCTCATTAAGCACTTCCTCTAGCTCTTCCAGCCACACACTGGACATTGTTACAGTAAGGGCACACTACTTCTCACTGGGAGGATTCTTTCTTACGCCAAGAGACGCAAGTAGGGTTTACGAGAAGACTGATTTCTGACACAAAATCTACACTGTAAACCCATTTTCAAATTCATCTGAGAAGAACAAACGCAGACTTGGTTTGTCATTATAAAGTGAGTCTTAAGGATTGTTAATCTCTGTAACAGGAATGCCAGGATGCCAGTTTACTCCCAAACCTTTTGGCTGCACACAACAACTAAAAAGCTAAAAGAATAAGAATATCAATATATCCTTTAAATATCTTGGCTTACAGTTTGAGTTGAAATACCAATTACGACCTAATTCCAGTAAGTTTTACATCAGTAGCAGATGTTTTATAACACAATCAATCTGTTCCATACATCTCAGATTTTTTTTCCAAACTTAATTTTAAAAGATTTTACTCAGGTGACCTTTAGATTGTAATTAAAGTAGGATCCATATCACTATAAGGCAAAGTATTAATCAATGCAAATACATGTATCTAGTTTATTCAGCTTTCTCTCTACATCTTTACTACACAGTAAAAAGTCAGGAAAAAAATGCAGGGAGAAAAACAATATAGTTCAATATGGAAGATAATAGCACAAGTACCAAATTATACAAACTGAAGAGCTTACACTGAGGCCATTTTAACAATCAACCACTCAAACAGAAATGGTATGCCGTGGTCCTAAAATAAGTACACAGAAATGGTTAATAAAGCCATCTCTGAACATGTTAATGCATACTCCATCAAAGTAGGGAGAATTGTGAGATTATCGATTGATTCATTCTTGATGTTAGACGCAATAAAAGCCCCAAAAAATGCCAAGTAAACACAGACAGACAGGAAGCATAGTCTAGTACACGATGCAACTAATAAATGTAGCAGAGAGGACACAAAAATGTAACACAGTAAAGGTCATATTAAAGTGACGTTCAATGGAAGATGATCTAACTGAATGTCCTTCTCCAGAGAACGCGAGTCTTTCATTGTAGGGAAAAGAAATATTGAATCAACTGGCCTTTGAGCTGCGATTCTCATTTACATTAATTCTAAGTACATAAGTCTGTGTGCTGAGCTCTGTCAAAACTCATTTAAAAGCTCTTTGTTGCGTATGCCGGGGCAGTCCCTCCCTTCTTCTGCAGTTTACGAGCACAGAGACATCAAAGTCAGAGGCAAGCCTTGTTACAAATGCTATTTTGATCATTTTTCTGCAAGGAGTGAATTCAACAGTGACCTGGAACAAGCAACACCATATGCACGTATTACTCACACTCCACTAAAGACTCCAGCTGAGAAGGCTAATGTGATTCCTCCATGCACATATGACCAAAAACAAAAAAGAAAGGAGAGACAGAGAAATCAAACAGAATGAGGGGAGAAGGGGCAGCTTCCTCATCCCGCAAAAATAATTGAGCCTGCTCATACAGCCTGCTCCAAAAATGCATAACACGAATCACTACAGTTAAATAAATAAATTAAGAACTGACATTAGATATGTGCTCACACTTTGTGTCCTCATAATTAACATTCGTGGGCTTTACTGACAAGTCCTAAATAAATAATGAGGCAATACTTCTTATGCTGCCATCAGTTATCTGTTGGAAAACCGCTCGAAGTTCTGAAACCATAAACAATGCAAACCCAGCTATCACTGTGCTGTAAATCTGACCCTTCATCCTGAGCCGAGCCTCTGACTAACGGCAAACCTGCCTGACAGAGGTGAACTGGCTGGACTGCCGTAAAGTAAAAGGGTGCAAGTGGCTTTCATATTTCACAGTCCATGTTGTTGCTAAGTAGGTGCAGAGAAACTTGCGTCTGGAGGAAGAGTTGTTAAACAAAACGGGCCCTCTGAGCTGCAGAGCCTGCACTTTCAAGTCACTTCACTACTTACTGCAACATTTATGAGCATGACCAACGCCACCGTCAAAATATATACATTAAAAAGGTTTTTCAGGAGACTGAAGGTGAAAATGTACTTGTCTCAAATATGATTGATGCTTTCAACCAATGACATTATCTAAATAAACAAATCTGTAACAGGCATGAAGTCTATTTCCCAAAAAATAACTCATATGACTGCCAACTCCCAAAGGTCTATCAGGGGATGAGAAGATGATGCTCATTTATTTTGGTATTCAATGGGTTTAGACAGCTTTAGAAAACACAGTACCTTCATTAAAAATGTACATTTAAATATTTTTTTTGAGTGGTTCTTTCTATTTTGGGGGGAAGTCAGTATATTAAATACCAATTGTACTTATTTAGTAGACTAAATCATTGTTTTGATACATCACTTAAATTAGCAACCACTGCTCATTGTAAGGCTGTTAAACAAATAATAATAATCACATTCAGGGAAGAAGGCAGTTTAAAGATAACTTTAAAGCTAAACGTGAGATTAGGTTATCATGCAAGACACAAACCCATGTGCAACTGCAATCAACCCACTTCCTGTCCCCCTCTGAAGAGCTTGTTTGGCTGTCAAGTTATGGGAGCACGTGTTGATTTGACTACATTGTAATTATGACAGATGTGGTCCGACATACGGACAATATTCAAGCTGCACCGTTTTGGTTAGAGCTCATGCTTCAAAACTCCAAATACAAACAAAAACGCGTATATTATACGGAAGCTTGAAGCCTGTTACTAACAAACCAGCTGAGTTAGGGCGAGAAATGAATGTTATGATAATGAAAGAAGCTTCGTGCCGTTCTGCCGTGGTGCTATAATACTCAGATCTGTTGCTGACTTAAAGTTCTCACACTTCCACACGGCCTACTGGCAGCAAAATATCCGCGAAGTTGTGCTGGCATACATACCGATGAGAATCGCTCAAATCCCAACATCCCGAATAATTAGATTCCGCGAGCTCTACGCCGACAAAGTTGGAGGCACGAGGATGCTGGTGGAGCTGGTGAGACTAGGCAGAGGTGCAGAGGCACGTGCAGTTGGTTATCACTACTTTGAAGCATGTGAACCCTACAAATTTTAACTTCTGTGTCGCGTATGGGCAAGACCACTCGGCTGGTCCACGAAACTGGCTATAAAGCTAAACATTAGCACGGTCCAACTTCTCAGTACACCATAGTTCAACTAGCATTTCGTTTAGCAGGCTAACCATAGCTAACTAAATTACGGTTAGCTATCACTTGGAGGTATATATAAACATGAACGTTTCACAAGTCAAAGCACTGACTGTTGTAGAAGTTCAATTAAATATTACCTTACACGTCCCTAATGACACACAACTGGCAAAGAGTCTACAATCTCACCTTTTTCTCTTTTTCTGTTGTGATCGACTAGTTAGCAGAGTTGGCTAACGGTACCTTAGCTAGTTCTTCTCGGCTAGTTTTTCTGTAAACTGCATCGTGCCGAGACGAATCGTGTCGATTAAATGAGTCGCCCTCTGTGAACATTACTAGTTTCGGTCACATGCTAGCCAGCTCAACAGCTTAACTAAGTGTTAGCTACACGAATATCACACACTCTGGGTGCAGGGAAAAACTACCAACAATGTGATACGCCGAGGTTTACGTTTCAACTGCTGCGTTTAGAGTAGTAGCATGCTTAGCAGCCTAACGACAGTTGTTAACCAGTTAGCAATAACGGCTAGCCGCAGCAGCCTCATATTAGCTCGCTATGCTAGCTGATTGTTCCGCGCATAACTTTGCCAATGTGTAAGTGTTCAGCCGGTAATTACGGCCCCACGCATTCTTAGTGGAGTGGTAAATTTGAGTTTTTGCATTTGTTCTATTACTAGCACCTAACTGGAGGCGCACTTCAAAACAGCTTTTGAAGCTCAAGAATTAGACATACCTCACTTCCGTAAATTTGCCTCACGTTCGGCCGCAGCCATGTTTTCAAGCCAGTCAACTAGTCGGGGTGTGTGAGCCGACTCAGCCGCCCTCCAAACGCAGCGCTACCCTGTACATTTTTGCCCCTGCCAACAGAGCTGTTGGTCAGACAGCCTCGGTGTCACTTTGTCAAATTTACGACCGTTTAAAATCACTTTCTTTTCAAACGACAAACACCGCTTATGACAGACTCCTAATTTTCCATTCTTATTTTCTCCTTCAAGTCAGCTCACAGTAACCAAATCAAGGGGAGGGGGGCAGAGTTAATTCTGTTTTCATCAAGTTTTAATAGTGTCAGCCAGCAAAAATAAGGATAGATCTCACTTAAATGCAGAAAATTGGAAATACAACATTCAGTTGACCCACCAGCCAGCATATTAAGCCATACCATGCCCATACAGAAAAATAATGCCTTTGATTAATTAGATTGCAGATGATGCTGATTACATACTACAATGTTCTATGGCTGTACAATTTAGTGAAGATAGATCACGACTGCGTGCACGTTTTAAGAGCAGCTTTGCATTTACATGCAGTTACACGAGATGTTAAACTGTGCTTGAGTGTTAAGCATGCATTCCTTAGTCTGCCTGCCTTTTTCTTTTTTTTCAACAAAATGAGGAAAATCTACTGACATCATTATATTAAATCACTCAAGTGCTGAGTATTGACCAACGTACTACCAGTATTGATACATTCATATACAAACCAGACACCTGCGCAGAGCATGCCAATTTGTACATCTACAGAACAGTGCAAAACAGTCATTCCTGAGACTAGTCAGAAATTAGTCCCTTCATAACCTTTTGATATTAAATTATTTTAAGTGTCACATTTTGCTCTCCTAACCATTCAGTGGACAGTATTAATTTACAACACGAAAAAAAAAAGTGAGTTTTATCTACAGCAAAATGTGTTGTGATTCAGCAATAGCAACACATGAACATACAATATGTGCTCATTTGGTCAAAGAAAGAAAAAAAGAAATATGGCATACAGAGGAAATTTTAGCTGCACATAATTTAAATGCTTGGTTCTGAAAAATAACCATACACATTAACTCTACAGTGCTAATAGAAATTTAAGAGCTCTTTATACAGATTTGTACAGCACGACATGTTAAATCCCTCTGTCAAAGGCGGTGGCGTAGCAGGGAAGATGAGGTCCTTTTTTCGTGAATGCTTCTCAAACAAAAGTGCAAAATAAAAGGCAGTTATTTTTTTTTACATTTCTCAATGCTTTCCCAACGCTTTACTGTCAAGTGCTTGATTAAACGGAGCGTGTCTCGACTTCGATCTTCTCCTCCGACTGCGATGATTCCACTTCCTGGTGGCTGATGTTTGGCCGCACAGTCACCAGTGGACCGCCGCCATAGATGGAGTGGAGGAAGTTCCACGTCTCCTCAGAGATCTGCCCGGAGTCCGCACCTGCAGGGTACAAGCAAGCAAACATTTATCACAATTAGTAAAGGAAAGATCAACTCAGAGAACAGGCTTTTCAAAGCATGTAGTGCTACAATACTTTATTTATTTTCTATTTGAATAAAGAACTATAGATACATTTTAAGGCAGTAGATTTGAAACATATGTACCTTGTTTGAGCATTAAATGGCCGTTCTTGTTGACTGTTATCTTGGAATTATCAATGGGTCCTGGAGGATCTACAATACATAAAGAGAGACACAATTATCTGTCAAATTAAATTCAGAGCAGTCGCATAAGCCCAAATCCTCCCCGAGACGGGGTTCAAATCCTAACGGACTCAAAGAGCAATAATGTTAAAATGTCACATTTTTCTGACATGCCATGAAAAGCAATTTGGGTTCCTCAATTGCTACAGAGGGAAAACAAATATTAAAGGAGCAGAAGTCAAAGTGAAAGAAGACATTCACTGACGTGCCAGATACAAGCGGTTATAAATAGATACGATGATACAAAGCAGCAGGAGCAAAAAAGAGAAAGATCTATTCTGACACTTCATTTTGATGGAGTAAGAGAGAATCCTGACTCTAGGGGCCGCAGCAAAGTCTTTGAAGATACATCAAGAGAAATCAGAAAAAAGGGAATCCGCAGTCTCTCTTTCTGCTAACCACTGTCTTTGGTATTTTCTATTAAAACAAGCCTGTTTAGCCATTTAATTTACAAGACAATTTAGAAAATAATTGCAACAGTTTTCCCACATCAGATTACATCCTTGCCATAGATCGAGGTTCATGGGTGAAACGTGTGACATTTTAACCAGACATTTAAACAGGACAGGTGGAGGAAAAGAAAACACTCTAGACCAATTACCATTGTCTTTTCCTTTGACAAAGCCCTCCCACTCACGAAACCACTGCATGCTGATGCAGTATATGACCACCGGAGACTCCTCCTCCTGGAACGCCTTGTTCAGCTACAGAGAGGGAGGAAAGGGAGAGGGGAAGTGGGGGAGGAGTGAGTGGAAGAGACAGGAGGGAGGAAGAAGGACGTAAAGGGACAGGGAGGAAAAAGAGGAGGGGTGGACGGATCGGAGCAAAAAGGGGGAAAAAAATGAAGTGAGAATGAAAGGATTGAGAGGAGAAGAAATGGAAAACCTAATCAATTCTCTCTGGTAGTTATTCCAATTAAAAGACACTGTTAACACCACAGTGCACCAATTTCATCTTCCTCAGAAATAACACAATCCCTGTTCTTTCAGTCTTCCTTTTGGCTTACTGGGGCTCTTTCTTTTACACACACACACACAAAACATTTATCTCCACTGTGAGCAGCCATTGTGTGAGTGGGCACAGTGAGCAGGCATTAACAGCTGCATCTGTCTCAATGCATTCGTGATAAGGCTTTTATCTGGCTCGCTCCTCTCATCTGCTGCCCGGGTGAAGAGCACCAACACATGCAGCCTATCAACTGGTTAAACAGACTGGAGAATGGGCCTATGTACACCCATTAGTCGTGGCCGCGCAGAGCCAGAGAATACATCATCATTCCCACTGGCTTTTATTGCGTCTGGAAGAAGCTGTGTGCTCTTCCGGGCTCGGGCAGTCACCTTCACAGCCCTTTAGGGAAACGGATGAGGAGAGAGCGCTCACCCTGACGAACATGTCCAGCTCAGATTTGCGCCGTTTTTCGAGTTTCTCTATTTCAATCTGACAGGTGTGGCAGACGTACAGGTGGTTAACAGCTGGCCCCCCTCCGTACCTGCACGCAACAGTTAAACACACACACAAAACTCATTTAGAAAAGAAACCATGGCGACACTGGGCGATCTAAGTGAGTGTGCAGAATGGTACCTGCTGTAAAGGTGATCCCACACATTCTGCGGCAGCATCACCACCAGATCATCAATGAATGCTGCTTTGTTGGGTGGCACGCCTGAAGAAACGCGTTGAAACAACAAAGTCAAATCACGAGCATAATGGTAACTGCACACAAATACTATTTTCCTCCAATTTAGTTACATTTTAGCTGGTTATTGCTTTAATTCTTCCCCATACTGCCGACCATCAGATTGATCAAAGTTGATCATACAAAGTGTCAGAAATCCCAAATAGTTCCAAAACAAAATTCAAAATCTTTGAGATGTTCTTTAATTCCACCTTGGCTCATGTACATTCTATACACGGCAAACCTTTAAGATTTCAGAATGTCATCATTTCAAGATCAAATATCTACAAATGAAAGCAAAGCGTGCTAAAGAGGTCAAAACATCCCTAAAGGATTCGGACACAGGACAACAACAAAAAAAAGACCTCAGAGCGGTTCCTGTGTGGAAATGACGTGTTCATACGCACCTCCATGCGCACACAGGAAGTCATCATTGGAAATTGGCCCCGGCTCGGCAAAGGTCTTGAACTTGTTCAGCCACTGGCGAGAGATGTAGAACTGCAGAAGGCTGGGCTCCATCATGTTGAACAAGGCCGACACCCTCCTACGTTCTTTCACTGCGTCCTCGCTGCTCTTTCTGCGACAGAAACAGAACACAGTAATCGGACGCGAAGGCTGAGCCACGAGGTTCAAAATGTTACAAATGTGGAGCACGACGTGGAAAGGTTGCCATCTTATTTGCCGCCTTACTTATAGAAGAGTACATAGGCTTCGGCGTTCTGGACGCAGGACTCGGAGACCTCGGTCACACTTTGGTCATCGAACTCATACCACAGATTGTTCATATCGTTCCTGCAGTATGCTATGTAGTGGCCACCTGGAACGGGACAAAGAGGGATGTGAGTGCAGCATTCACAAATCTAACAAGAACGTGTGAATTTTATGCAGAGGCTTATGAATGCCGGGCACTCGGATGTGCCAAAGGATGGCAGTGGCCCCGATCTGCAGCAGAAAGGGGGAGGCTCTGGGCCCACTCACTGCTGGCAGTGCCGTGGTGACAGATGACTGACAGCAGGTCATAGTTGGTGGTCTGGGCGGAGCTGTCTTTGGCCAGAAAAGGCTGCAGGTCTAGGCCCTCGAGTGGAAAAGACACGTGGGTGCTTATCTTGGTGGAGAACATCAGTTCGTGTCTGAAGCGCTTCAGATGAATACACAAGATCTGGCACAGAGAGACGCACAGTCCTGTGGTGTTAGTCACAACGCATAAGCATTTGGGTTCCTTCATTATATGAATGACTAGAGCTGTTCATACCTCTGGCAAATTTTGCATTTTACAAAATTTGACTCCATTTCGTAATCTAGAAGGAGAGATCGTAAAGAGGACAGTAATTCATTACAGGCCCATCTTCTGTTTTCGATGATCCACTATTGCAAAAATAAACTGACAGAGAAAATGCAAGCAAAACCACTCACTTTTTGCACTTTTCACAGCTGTACATGTTGTCTCCTAGGGAACAACAAACACAGTCATTGTTGCATCAATCTTTGCACCTGTGTCAAAAGAAGATTTTTAGTTTTTTAACCCATTTACTTACCCTTCAGTTCATCTCTGGCAAAGAAAGCTGCAAGGCAGTCTTGTAGTGTAACTACTGGCCCCCAGAACCAGCTAGGAAATAAAGAGACTTTGTTCAGTTAAGCAGTAATAGGATATATCAAATTAGCATCTAATGTACATTAAATGTAAAGTGTGTTACACATACACACACCTCTTGATGTACTCCATGACAAATGCTATCCAGCCTTGAGGTGCATAAGCCTCCCCGCAGGAGCCGGCTTTTACCAGGGAGGTCTGGTGGGTGGATGAGTGGAGCTTGGCCAGGTCTTCCTTTCCCGGAATGGGCAAGGAAATATCCTGGAAGTTTTCCAGGGTCACGGACACCTGAAAGCCACAGACCCCAGAGACCATAAAGTTTCAGCGGTGGTCACATCCTAATGTGAAGTCACACTGCCAGAGTGGCATCCTTACAATCAATAGCGCATTATTAAACATTTATAAGGCCACCGGAGCTGAACAAAACTTTATTTCTCTCTGTATCGTCTTACTTATGGTACCTTTAAATGACCAATAACACAGTGTCTCGTTATGGAGTGCCATGTTTCCGTTTCACACACACCCATAAGGCCAATGGGAAGGCAGAGTAATGCACAGGAGGAAAACTGGAAACAAAATAGTCAAATTTACCCGATCGCAGGTGAGGCACTGAACTGAGCTGACAATGGTCCCATCGAAGACATCTGAAATTACGCTGCGGAATTTCTTCTGACGCTTGCTCTTAGGTGGGGTGAATGTGGTAATGGCTGTTGGGAAGCACAGAGGCAGAAATGTGAGAACAGACCTCCAGCTCAGTCTGTCAAACACAAAAGTAAGCAGAAGATCGGCGGGATAGTCTTACTTCCCTCCTCTCCTTACAAAACCAGCCCCCAGTTTAGACATTTGGGTGAATTCAAAGTCAACTCTGCACCTTTTTTGTGCGCGGGGTTCAGGCTGGGCCAGGCGGACACGGCTTTGGGTGGGCTTGTGGACATTTTGGGATTGTGTCCTTCCATGGGGACAGGGCTCTGTGGTCTCATGGTGTTGGACATTTGGATATCTGGAAAGCAGTCTGTTAGAAGGAGGCCCAGGTTTAGGTTGTTGAATTCATATCCGACATCAAAAAGTGGGGTTTACGTGTCAGTGGCAGGTGGCAGGTGGTTTTGTACAAAATCCTTACCGGATGTTCTGCCTTGGACCTTGATGGCTCCCTGGCTGCTGATAATCGCTGTGTTCTCGGCGGTGGTGTCCACGTCTTTGTCGATGTCGCCCCCCGCGCTTCCGCCCATAACGCCGTTAACGCTAGAGCGGTAAAGGTCGTTGATCATGTTCTTCTCCTTCTGCCACTCCCGGTTGGCCTGGATCTCGTCCCGCTCAGGAATCAGCATCTCCGCTTCGTTGGTGTCGTCCATCAGAACATTCCCACCCTGGACCTCATTGTCGGCCCTCTCGCTGCTGCCACAGGACTCACATGACTGGAAGTCGTTGTCCGACTGGCTGTGGTTGTCCTCTTCCGGGCCGTCGTTGACGGCGATGCCGCTGGACTGGTCGTAGGGCTCTGGAAGCGATTCCTTCAGCTCCTCGTGAAGCTGATCCATCAAGCAGCGCAGAAATTCCTGCGAGTCCTAAAACGTTCGATTGGGATAAAAAAAAAAAAAACAATTTAAATGTTAGATTAAGCTGCCAATAATTTGCTGCTGGAATAATAAAGGCCTTCGCCTTTCACTGTAGTCTGACGAAACAGAAAAAAAAAAAGACTTAGTGTCACAGAAAACTACAGAGAGAGGAAAGCTTTCCCAAAGAATTTTTTTTTTTCTTTTTTAAATGACAACAACAACCCCTTCACCTCCTTGTTCATCCCAGTTCTGGACCACAAAATCCAAAATCCAACACTCATGAATGTGTAATCAAACTCAACGAACCTCAGAAATCCAATCTCCCTCTTCAAGCCAAATTAACTCTCCTCTCCCAGGAGCTGGAATGTTAACTTCATTCACAGCAATGGAAAATCCAAAGCTGTGCAGCCCAGCGTGGTGTGACAAATGAATATTCCTCAGCTAACTCCTCTAAACAAACACTGGCAAGCCTAGAGGAAAGAGGCAAATTTATCATTTCACCTTTCAGGCTTACACGGCTTACACTGACTGAAGACAGTAAGTGCTTCAGTTTAACATCTCTTAAAAGCTCTTGTGCCTTTGCTTCAAGCACCACATGGAGTCAAATCAAGCATTTCCCCTTCAGGCCAAATGAACGTGTGTGTACAGTATTAAAAAAGTGCAGATTTTAAGCGTTAAACTCTTTTTTTGACTGAGCAATTTAAGCTAATGTGATTCTGCACAGCAACAAGGAGATAAATGAGAAGGAGGAGAAATAAGGAGACTGTAAGATTTGGGATGTAGTTAAACTCTGAGATCAGAGCAGCAATAACAATGAAGCCTCAAAAAGAAAAAAAGAAAAGATAATAATGTAATAAACTCATTCCTGTATCTTAACTGGGACCTTAACTGGGATCTCAACTCTCAGAACTGGCCTGTCAACCTTTAGCACCATTTACATTGAATGCGTTTTCAAGTAAGATAACTCCAGGATTTTTTGTACCATTTTGCTCCATTTTCTGGGACAACCCACCTGCTGGGAATACCCTCTAAACATGGGGTTTACAGCTTTGATCCCCTGGAATAAGTTGGTCGGGACAACATAGGAGGGTCTGAAATTTGAAGTGGGAAAAAAAACAATAAATAAATATGCGAAAAATACCTTTGCATTATAAGACAGCTCAAACAAACTACCTGTTCTTGTTCCACAAGTCAGAGACTAGTTTCTGGTAGCTTTTGCAGAGAGCAGGCTTCTTGTCGGTTCTCACCAAACCACCGCATTCAAGAAAGAACTGCGTCAAGGGCGGGCTGCGGTGACAACAAGGATGGCTGTGTTTACACTCAGGAAAAACAATATCCTCGATATTCATTAAGAGAAGAATAAAAAGATACGAAAACGAAGGCATAAAAACTTGTTCACGTGTGTTTTTGTTACAAAATAAAAAAACTTTTCATATATCGTAGAATAAAAGGGAGAAGCTACACATACAGCTTAGGCTTGAATAGTTAAAAAATATCATCTCCAGTCTGCATTTTTATTCGTCTCATTAAATTCTCATTTCACTTGCAGAGCGATATCACAAATTCCCAGATGTACTTTTCCATGTAAGAACCCCCACCCCCCCCCAATACAGAGAGTTGAAGGACATCAGAACAACTGAAAAGAAAAACAGCTGAGGGGATTTTATTTGACGGATACAGAAAGGACAGAAATCGGCAAAAAAGACACAAAGTACAGAATGAATAAGGCATGAAGTGTTCCCTCCTTTGGCAAGACAGAAGTCCTTCGGACTGCATAATGACTCGACAGTAACGGGGAGGAAGGAGCTCACACAAATAGACATCAAAAGAAACTTTGGAAAAAGGTCCCTCCTCTTGCAGCTGTGTGACTAAGATCCTCCTCTATTTATATTTGGAATGTGATTTAGATTGCAAATTCTGACCCACATCTTTGCCTATTTTGACTTTTATCTGGCGTTGGCATTTTCTAGTTCATTCTAAAAGATAGTAAAGGTTTTTAAAACCTGTGCTTGTTGAATAGAAAAGGCTAAAAATACTGAAATACAGCAGATGAACCGAACGCCAGTCCAATAATCCGAAAATAATTCATCAGATTGACAGGCACTTTAATGGCAGACATGAAAAGGAGCAGTAAAGGGGTCAGAGGGAAAGAAAAGAAGCAATCGAGAGAACGAGCTGCTGTTGATTTGTAACTGAGGAGTCCACGGGGAACTACAAAAGGCCATTTCTGCCGTATCAAATGGTGCACTGCAGCAATTCTCACTCAGTCATCGTTTTCCCTAATGAACACCGCCGTGGTCATTTCTCACAGTCTGCAAGAAGCGAGCAGTGAATAAAACAGCGAGAGGCTACAGAAGAAAAGGGGGGAACAGAAGTGTGACCAATGGGATGCGAGTCGCATGATGGTTAGTCGCAGGCAGGAAAGTGTCAAATTGGTGGATGTGGGGGTGGACAGGTAAGAGGGGACGTGGGGAGGATGCAAAGTGGAGGTCTCACCAGTTGGACAGGGCCTGGAGGGCGGCGTTCATGTAGCAGGTGTTGCCTATATTCTTCAGCCCTGTCAGGCCTGAAGGAGACAGAGGACAACCGAGAAGTTAAAAAAGAGCCTCCCATCAAACGCTCGCTGATGACAGCTGAATAGTGTCTACATGTTCACTAGACCGAGGGCTAATATTTTACAGCAGGAGCGGAGGACGGGGCAACCTGGTGCATCCCTGTTCAGTCTGAGACTTTCTGCCATTATCCTCTGTCCTTTTTTTTGTTTTCATTTCACCACAGAGGGAACAACTGTTACTTTCTTCCTCTGAGTAGGGCTGCACATTTAAAAAAAGCTTCAATCTCGAAGGACCAGCTCAGTCTACAGATGGTATCCCCCCCGAATAGCTTAGTTACTCCACCTGTTAATCATGTGATCCCTGTTAGGGCCACCAGCGCCGGTGGCCTTGCTTTAGCTACATCACATGAGGTTTAAGAGGGCATACTGCATGACGTTAGGTGGAGCCTACAAGAGGCTCAAAGCACGGGTAACATTTTTCAGTGGGGACCCCAGTCAACCATAAAGCTGCGAAAAAGTCCTTCTCCAGGACCTGATACAAGTATAACAAAAAGCTTCTTCTGTGTTGTGGGGACACTACAGGGGCTCCAGGGGTAGCAGGTCAGAATCCAGCTTTGTTTTTAGAAATGCACAGCTGGAGCAGGGTTTTGGCTAGCTGCTGTGATGGAACCGTTCAGGTTGGGGAAGCCGGGTGAAGAAAGGTATTTGCAGCTTTTTCACCGGCTCTGCTTCTCTGAAGTCTGCTTGGTCTTTAATTTTGTGAAACCTCGAAGTAAAAGGTGAGAGCTATTTTTTGAGCCTCACATCACGCCAGGGACTTTAAAAGCTTTCTGATGTCTAACTAAGCTAGTGACAACTTCAAAGAAGATAACCTCTGGCACGCAGGTCGTCCTCCTCCTCGGTTTCCATGTCCAGGTCTTCACAGGCTCCATCAGAGGGCACTCTCAGAGAGGTTGGGCTCCCGTGGGCTCTGTTGCTATCCTGTAGAAACAGACCATGCACACACACACACACACACACACACACGTTATCATATGGAGCTTAATGGCTAAATGAAAAGGAAACAGTTGGCCAAACTTCCTCGTAAAGTCACAGTCGTCATGTGATTAGGCAGTAAAGCCATCCTACAGATGGCTAAAATTGCTTCCTGGTTCCATACAGGGAAATGCAACGCTCACCTGACTGGCGCTCGACGGTAATGGGAGGGGTTTGGCGTTGGCGTGGGGCGAGTGAGAACTTAGTTTTCGCTCCAGGAACACCTCCTTTCCGCAGGCGTAGCACCACACTCGAAGCGTGGTCAGATTCACCGTCAGGTTGTGCCTCGTCTCCTTTAAACACAGACGGGTTTACAATAAATAAAGAATCGTGTACATGGGTCCTGATTTCTTTATCCGCCAAAGCTTCCAGCTTGTTTTGAGATATTGGCTTTGTGTGTTAACAGACTAAACTGTTCATAGATGATCAGGATTCTCTTTAGGTTACAGCCACTGTTTTCGCTTCAGAGAATCCAGTTCAAAATGGTAAAAAATCAAGTTTGATTTTTTACTTTGTGTTTGTTGAGAGGTAGCTTTTTAACACAAGCACCTGCTAGCCCTTATGGAGTCAAAACCTCTCAAAAAACACAAAAAGCTCAACCGCATCCATGACTTTTGGGTCATCTTACTCTGGTTACAGGCCTCCTGACCCACTGCCGCTCTCAACGAAAAGAAAAGAAACAGCAGGTATTTGACACGAGACCGAACGTGAGCAGCAGCTGCCCAGCAGGCTCTGTATTATTCATCAGGACGCGTTAGCCTTCACACGACTGGGCAGGGCTGATGTAGACGAGGCAACGCACCAGACGGGGCGCTGCCCCAAATCTCCCCATTTAAAATTTTCATGAGGGGAAATAAACCCCCAAAAAGCTAAACTGACAGGACGAGTGTTTTTACACACCCAGATAATGCTCTGTGCTTTACACCGCTGCTTTGTCTTTACGTAAAAACTGAAATAAGCAGCACACACTCACGCTGAGAATAACACTTGGGGGGGAAGGAAAAATGCAGTGAAACCTGTCCGTCTCCGTGGCTTTTGTCGCGCGGAACAACATTTAGCCAACAATAAACAAAGATAAAAAAACAATGCTGCTGTCAGTGTACAACCTCCTTAAGAAGCAGGTTGGCTCCAGCTTTGTCGACATAATAAAAGGTTTTCTAAAAAAAACTCAGTCCTTAAGCCTGAAAGGGCTTCGGTTTCCTATCTGTAACATAAAAGAGGATTCTTATCAGGTTTGAGTGATGCCTCAAAACTGCAAACATGCAAATGCTTTAAATGAATCCTGTTCAAACCCTGAGGTGGAGCTTCGACATCTTATCAGCAGAGTTAGCAGTGATTCTTAACCTTAGATCTTAGAAATGATCCTTCATATTTAATCTAAGCCCAGTTTGGCTACAGCCTTTAGAAGAAAAAAAAACATCAGATTATATCCTGTTGTTTCTCGCAGTGATGGGAATGAGATTCAAATGTTTCTTCCCCTTAAGGCTTATGTAGAACTAATTAAGAATGGCTTCCATTTCCACAAGATTTAAAGATGCCTTGCAATAAAATCCTGTTATACTTGGATGCAGAGCTCCTCTTAAGAGGTTCGCACTTCAATCGACCCTTTCTGGACTAAGTTTAGAGCATTGATGTTGGTATTACCAGGCACAGCAAATTACAGTTGCCTTTCTTAATTGGTATTTCTCCCAACCCCATCTGGTTCTAACGTGCAAGAGGGAAAAGTCTTAGTCGACAGCGTGAACTGCAGAGCAGAAAGGAGGAGTAGATACTGTAACCATGGAGCTGACAGAGCTAGCGAATCTCCCCCTCTTCCCAGAGGAATGGCAATTAATAATGGATGATCCTCTGCTGAAACTGAACTGAACTGAAGGTGGAGGCACAGAGAGGGCTTGGTTGGTGGCTTCTAACAACACGTGCACTTCAAAAAAGTTCTAAGACGCATTTGCAGCCTCTGTGATCATGGGGAGAAAAACGTTAAAAATAAAAAGCAGTGCTGGAGGAAGTTTTATTCTAAGTAATGACTCTTGGGATTTTGATGTGATATTCCTGTCCCGGACTGCCATCTGTGCCTTCTGTGAAACCTCCATCTTTTGATTTCAATTTAACAGCACAGAGAAGGCTTCATCCTTCACCCTTCTGTCTTTCCCACTCAGCCTGTCATTTCTCAGCTCAGCTCTGAGATCTCTCACCTGTGAGTGAACGGTGCTGTGGTCGGCGTGAGATTCTCCACAGCCCACGTACGCACAACCATTCTGCGGAGAAAAACAGCCATAATACGCAGACACAACAGTGGGGAAAAAAAAAAAAGATTGAATGCTTCAGATCATGCTTCAGATGTTGCATCAGATCAAAATCGCTTCCCGGCACACACTTGCTTACCTCCAAACACGCCCACAGATTCGGACCTCTGACTTTACAGTCTTGGCACTGGCCCTAAAACATAAGGAAACACTCAGAATGCACCAAAATGGAAAACAAAAACAAAAAACAAGGACGTGTGAAACTAAAAAGAATATGAGGTCATTTATGGGCAGGGTCTGGAAGAAGGGTCTCTTACGTGGGATTTCTGAATAAGCTCTTCTTTAGTTATCTCCCCCACGCAGTCCAGGTGGGGGCAGTCGCAGCTGGACGCTGGTGACATCTCTCACAGACTGCTCGGAGGACACAAAAAAAAGGAAAAAGCAAAACAACATGCAGTTTTTAAAAAAAAAGGCAATTTGCGCTGACTGACTTTTCTGGGTTCATGTTAACTGACCCAACCGGGGAGGCTGGACAGAGCAAAAGAACAGCTGAGGACAACAAAAGCTGTCAGGCTGCTACAACATGATCCCTCATCACAAATGATAAGCTTTTCCGTCCCCCGATGGCTTAAAGATCCTTTGATAACATGGCCACAGACTTTCCGAGGAGTGAATCAAGAGGCAGCTGTCAATAATTCAGAGGCAGACATGCCTTAATTGTGTCACACCCAAATGTCTGATGTACATCTTGACAGCATTAATAGGAAACCAGGTTCTGAGACATCCAAAAGTAGAAGCCGCCGGGGTGAAAGAGAAACCAGGAGGCCGCGGAATGTAAGTAAATGTTCCCTCTTACTGATGGCAGTCAGCCGTGTGTGCAGGTGCTTGTTCCACTCAGGCTAGCTGTTATGCAGTGCAGCTAAACGCTGCGAAAATAAACGACGCATTGAAACACGCTGAACTCACGAGAAAGTCACGCCGGTGACGCAGAGCATAAATTCACGGTCGCACCCGACTTCCATTACTGCTGGTTAAATGGGAAAGTATAAATTCAGAGGAGGGGTAAATGAGGCGGGCAGGCAGGCAGGCAGGCACAAATAAAATGGCCTTATCTTTGAACAGCCAGTCAGCAGAGAGACAGAAATGTTGAGCTCAGGCTATTAGGCTATATTTTTCAACCTTTATACTGGATAATTATCAATCCTCTGAACTGTATCCATGAACCCTGGTCCTCATAGTGGTGTTCAGTAGCTGCTACTTCCCTTAATGCGTAACCCTAATAGGCAGTAATTATCGATTGCTGTGCAGAGGTAATTAAAACTCCAATTACATGTTGAGCTCTATAACTAAACAAGACACCTTTGTAACACTAGGACCATATGTGTCACCTAATTAGGTTTTTGAATAAAAAAGGATAGTTCCAATCAGAGTTTTAATTAGTCAGAGGTGGTAGAAACGAATGGTGAATTCCTGCTGTAGCTCCATTTATGAGAATAATACTAAAGAGGAAGCCTGAAACTACTCCACAGGACATGCCGTATACAGTGGGATCACAGGAAAACGTCGGGACCACCAAAGATCAGCCGCATTCCCAAAGAAAACAAGGCACTATTTCTCTTCTTCAAGCACCAGAAGAAGACAAATAATGGAAAGGGGACGTTTTGCGAAAAAATGAAAGCATTGCATGAAATAAATTTAGCGGCTAATGTATTCCAATAGCCCCTGCAGCTGATGGTTTTTCACCCTACACCACACAAAGAGGAAATACAGTAGAAGAGACTGTTCACATTATGAATATGACGTTATCTTTCGCTTCTTGAATCGCTCTTTAGAATTTGTCCTGAAATCAGTGGCGAAACGAAATGCAAAGTATTACCAGTAAATTCTTATTAAAGGTCTTTTAAACTTAGAACAACTTTGAGCTGTCCGCAAACTTATCTGATAGCAGATCATATCAGAGTGGAAACACTAGACTAAGAACCACTCACATGTACGCGTTTTTGCTTAATTCAAAGCCGCAAAGCATGACCATTACTCTTCCCTGAAAACAATGGACATTTAAGCACACTGTTTTCACTGATTTCAGGTCAATAAGATAAGCAGAAACACAAAGAAGCAAAAGACTGAAGTTCATATTCAAGACGCACAAGTCAGTGCGACTGTTTCCTCGGTTCACCAACACTATCTCCAAGTCTTATCAGACCGTCTTACACAACGCACAACATCTCTGCCTCTCACACAAATAGTAAGCCTAAACATATTGATAAGAGGCGAGGTCGGCCATATTTCTGTTTACCTTAACGTGCTCCTCCAAGTGCCCCGAACTTTAGAGGCATCCAATAAAAAGGTCATGTGAAATAAACCCAGTGTTCGTGCAGCATAAACGCTGACTATCTCGGCTAGTACAACACACCAGGAACATCACATTAGTCAGCGGTTCCAATATCAAGCCTGCTGTGTAACGCAGGGGAGAGAATAGTTATTCAGTCTATCTAGCCAACCCAAATGGATCTCTCTGTATCTCCATGAACAACCTTCACGGATATAAAGCACCAGGAGGTGGAAAGTAAACATATTAATTTCTATTCTCTGCACTTTCTTCACACTGGTATATCAAAAAGTGAAATAGAGCTTTAACCAAATATTGATTTGGTTAAAATCTCATTTTAAGATAGGCAAATGAAAAAAAAATACAATAAAGCAATGCCAATAAATTACAACACGCTGTTAAAGATTAAACCGGTATTTTTTATGAACTTTGGTATCCCCTCCCTACAATGCAGCTACAAAATAAAGCTCACAGCCAATCCCTAAAGTAAACAGCATAGATGGCAGATAATTTCAATTATATAGCTGTTATTACTCATGCATATCAGTTGAGTATTAACCCTCATAGGTGCAGGACATATGTAACATTCCTGTGTTTATGTGTGAAAGCTGCACGTGAGCACCACTACGGTTCAATCCTCTACAAAGGGGTGGTGCGTTCAGGGTGGGGCTTTGACACAGATCCCTGCCAAAAAGAACGATAAACCAATCCTTTAACACTAAGAGGCCTAAAATTAAAACGAAATAACCCAAGCTTATTTCTGTGCCTGTGTAACGTTGCTGAGGCTTCCCACAACAGGTTAACACAAACCACTGAGGTGAAGATGTGACGTTAGCTACGTTACCTGGAAGTCAATGGTAGCAAGAGCAGAGAGAGACACTGGTTTTTATATCAAATGTATCTCCTCTCAGTTTGTGATTCAAGGAGCGAGCCAGTTCCTCATTTTGAGATAGAATATCGCAAAAAGAAGAACTGTGTGACTTTGGCCTTGTCAGCTGCTACTGAGAGTGAGATGTCAAAACCAGGCGAGACACTGACAGCGTCACGAGCTGACTAGCAATATTCCGCCGCTAGCTTTAGCCAACTGACAGTAACCGGTCATCCCATTTAATTTCTGACTTGCAACCGAGCCCCAGTATTCACAAACACGTAGGAACAACGCGTGGCTGTAACTGAGAGAAATACAAGAGCAGAATTTGTGAGACGGTCGCCTACTGATAGCAGCCTCGGTTTTAACATGCTAACTGATTAGCCTGCTAACGTTCCTCCTGAGCACCGACGATCCCACGGTGACTACACAGGAGTCATCAGCAGCTAGCTGCCAAAGATTAACATCAATATCGGCCCTTACCGGCTTAGTAACAAGACACACGGCTTCTCTGGTAGATCAAACTCTTCTTGGTGCATCAGACATGGAATGAGTCAGGACTTAAAGACATATTTCGAAAGGCAATCCTTCTCGGGAATGATAAGCGATCCTGTCTCCCAGCGTGGTTGCTAACGTTACAACTATCCCCGCCCCCTTTCCGGTTTAAAAAAATCACCCCATCCCACTGTACATTATCTTTTGTTGTCATGAATTTGAGCATGAGCCCCATTTCAGCTTTACATGATCACAATGAGCCAATGATAAGATGGAATAAACTATCCTATCCCCGAGATATTCTCAGATCTGGGTTAAATATTTGAACGTGCTTCATGCAGTGTCAGAAAAAGCAGATGGGAGACATTATAAGGACTCTGAAGTGATAAGATACGATTTAGTGTATTTATTTCACAATATATGACCTGCAAAGTGTGAAAATTGTGACCTGGTCATTGAGGAAAATGCACAGCAAACCCATCCCAAGTGCCATCTAGCGTAAAGAGAGCAAAATGCCCCTCAAATCAAATACCCATGGCATGGTTCTCAGATCATCAAAACGCATCTGGCAAGAATTGTATCTTTTCCCTTTTCAATCAAACCTTAAAGTCGTTCATCTGTTTTTTTTTTGTTTGAATTCATGGGAATTATTCAGCACATAAGCCTGGAAGAGCAGAAACATACTTTTACATTGTTTTTAAATGACTTAAATCAAGCTTAAATCAGTGAAGAGAAAGCTGTTGATGAAAAGAATTGAGGCAAAAAAGTGTTAAAGAAAGACCTAATTAAGAGTATGAATTTACCAAACCATATATCTATCCATCTATATGTATGGCACTTTCATTGAGTATAAAAATATAAAAGGTTATATTTTTAATGGACATTTAGAGTATGAGGTTAAAATATTTAAAGTAAAAATGTTACATTTTGGGGGCAAAAGTTCTGACATTTTAAAATATAAATAAATCGTCAAATTAGTAATGTTTTAAAACAGAAACAAACAGGAAGATCAGTTTAACAGTTAAACTTTTTTGTGATGTAATGTATTTTGTTTAAAGAAAATACATAGAAGAAAATGATAACATATCCAATAAATCTTACATCTTTCAAAGGAACTGACTTCCAGAAATGACAATGCTTACATTAATAATAGGTTTGTGTGATGAAATACAGTGACAGGCGACGGATAACAAAAGAAAAAAGGAGTGCTATCGTTAGTCATTTCTCCCAGCAACCAACAGAGCAAATAAATAGTTTACATACTTGCTGGCAGTTCACATACTTTGGTTTTTCTTTATGCAAAAATAGAAATGCACTGCAATTTCCACACCACCCTATATACATTAGTAAAAAGAATTTCCATCTATGTGTTTATTTTTTTGCACAGTTTTTCTTTTTAATTGATATTTAGTTATTTCTATAATTGATATTCATTTCCAGTGTGTACTGTGTTTCCAAACGTGTTTCACTCTGCTTAATGAAAGACAGAGAAGTAACAGATAAAGGGAATATTAGACTGTAAATCTTTTTTTTTTTAATGGGCCTTTTAAGTAAACTTGACAGAAAGAAAAAATAATAATATTGGACTCGTCTTGTGTGCCATCATTTACTTTGTCATGATTGTAATTCACGGGAAATCCAGGTGGGGGCGCCACCACTCCACAGAAAGCGATGACGTTATAGAGGGCAAGCCAGAGGAGCGCGTGCGGCTCCACGCGGCGCGGGCGCGAGTCCTTCATCCGCCAGCAGCTGAGGTCAGTTGGAGGACTGGGGACAGGAGCCGGGAGTCTGCGGAGGAAACTTCTGCATATATCGGTGACAGAACTTTTATTCCGTGTTTGTGTCGTTCAATGCGCAGCGACAGGTTAATAGACCTGTCTGTCTGTTTATTTTTAGCTAATATAACAATTTTAGCCTCTCCGCTAGCTGTTATTAGCCTTGTTATCTAAGTTAGCATTTAGCTGCCCGGGCTTGGCCAGCAAGTGTTCGCCGTACCTGGACCATGTGCTAATGTGATTATCCTGACATACTACTGCAGAGTCCTTCTGC